CGTGTGCACGAGGACGCCGCCGGCCCCGTTCCAACCGAACCGGTTGGAACGGGGCGAGAAACCCACCCCTGTAACAGAGATACAAAAGTGGGCGGTAGGTATAAAAAGGTTGACTACCCCATGTCTAGAGGGATGGGAAAGCAAGATCTGATCCAAGAATGTGAATAGTTTTTCAGAGCAAGAAGTACATTGTGCTTTCTCAGTGTCCGGTTCATTTGCACTCCATTCTAATCTTGTTCCTCTGGTTTTGTTTTTACTCTCATTCTCTCTAAATTCATCTGTTTTTCCACCTCTGGACAGGGTGGATAGGTTTTTCACAGTTTACATTTTGAATAATTTTTTAAATTCAAATATTTAAACACACACACACACACACACACACCCCAACTCCCAGCAACTGGTGTGATTTACTTTCCCTTGGCATCTATATAACTTCAGTCTCTTCAATCTTAACTGCTACCCCAGCAATGGTAGGTTAAAACTAGTCAAGACATGAACAAATCCTTTTACTCGTGATCAGATTTGACGGTGAAGTGGAAATTATGGCATGCCATGGGGTTTTCCTTTGGAACTCGGGCATTCTTACAAGAGGCATTTAAAACACATAGTAACCAGATTTGATCTTTTTATGTGGAATGTAAAGTATTATGTAAGTGTTGGAAAGGCAGAATATAATTATCTATATTTAACTTTTAATTCAAAGTCATTCCATTTCCTGCCAGAGTGTTACTTCAGTGCTTTGATAAACTAGGCAGGAAACATTTCCTTGAGTATGATTATTTTCCCATTGCTACTGAAATTGCAACATTGATAACACAACCATGATTATTCATGGGAAAACACGATACGCACATGGATTGCAATCTTTACATTACCCCGATATTTTCCTAGTATATAAAAGTGTATTATTCTGTCAAATCTCAGATATTTTTAAAAGATTGTATTATGATGCATTTCTTAAATATTTTTTTTAAAAAAACTTTAGCTGTGAGAAATTAATATTGTAAGCAAATACACCAGTATCTGCCTGCCAGTCTGTCTATCTGCTTGCTTGCTAGCTAGCTAACTAGCTGTCTATTTATATCTGTACCAATCATCTATCTGTCTGTATCCATCCATCCATCCTGTCTATCTGTCTCTGTCTGTCTGTCATGAAGTAATGGGCTTCTGTATAAAATTTGAATGTTCTGATACCTGCACCTAACCGCAGTCTTTTGTGTGTGTGTGTGTTTCGCAGATGAATCAGCAAATGGCTGGAATGACTCTGAATAGTTCCAATAATATGATGGGCTTTGGTCAACCACCCAACACAGTGGCAGGATGGACTGGAACTTCCTCGGGCCAAACCCTCAGTACGCAACTCTGGAAGTGAAAAGGCAATAGAAGTTTAAATCAAAAACCTGACATTCCATGCCCAAATACATCTAGTCTCCCTGTTCCATCTATGTACACTACCCCCTCCCTTCCTCCAATTTCAAACCATTCATTTTAAAAGTAATCTTAACTTGACCGTATTGTGGTCTGTACTGACTTCAATTCTGATGTAGTAAAAAAAAGCAAGTTGAATACATTGGCAGCTTTTTTCATTCCACGATATGTTTTGATTTTGCAAATCTTACACTCTCAGAAGAGCTACGTGACCAACCGCATACTCAAAATTATTTTATCTTGTAGAGCAAATGTTTCCATATAAGGGAAAATAGGTATCATGTTAGTGCTATCTCTAAAATGTAAACTCCACCTTTGCAAATTTACCCAGTAATCCTGTAGAAGGTACTGTATGAACCAAATGTTTTAATTATATAAATAAGAATGTACCTTGTATCATTGAAATATGCATTTCCTTGTGTGATAATGATTTTGTTTCATCATACATTTCACTGTGATGTTATAATGATGTGATGAACAGGGAAAATGGCTCGCAAGAGAGAGATAAACCTGGGTGGTTCTAGGGCCCTATCAATTTTCTTTCCACTGTTTGAGTTACCTGGGTAAAAATAAGCTGATCTGACCGACAAGAGATCTGTACAGGATTAATCAGCAGTGTAACTGCATAGCAACTCTACAGGGTAACTCAAATTGTATATTTAATTTTGTCCTTCAAGTTGTATCCAGGTTTCTGCCAGTAAATTGTGTTTACATTTTATGGTGCCTCATATTGATAAACGGTTGCTTCCCTATATTAAAGAAATCCATAAACATTGTGTAATTATTTTATTCTATAAGAATTGTCTCTATTCTTTAAAAACAATGCTTTTTAAATTCAGGAATAAACCTGGAAGCCATGGTGTAAAAGCTTCTCTCTCTTTTTTTTTTTAGACTAATAACTTTTCAGTGCATTACCACCTCTTCACTGAACATGTGTAAAGGAAATGGGAACAGTTAGAAAATTAAAGCAGGGCAGAAAAATGCATGCAAAGTAAGTGAAGCCTAAGTAGACACGTCTTCAGCTCTCTGCCAGTAGTCTTCCATTAGGCTGCCAAAGGCTGCAGTTGTACAATAGGAATTTGTACAGTCTGAATATGGTAAGCATGTCTGATGCATCCATTAATTATGGCATGTCCCATTTACGCCGGCAGGTCACACTTCAATTCTGATATTGTCCAGGTGATACTTTGGCTCATTAGCTAGATTTACCTTTTCTGTTCTAGTATGCCATACGAGAACCTGGAAAAAATTGAACACAAACATTAGTTGGCATTGATTCCTCCACAAGTTGACTCGTGGGGACTAACGTCCATTGTGGAACTTACAACACTGATACCTTTGTGCAGTTGCTGGCTTTGGGCTCCAGTTCCTCCATTGTGGTAATCTGCCTCAGGAAGTCGGATTCCTGCATCCCAGGTTGTGAGCCGTGGCGTCTAAATACAGCCTTGGGGTTGGATAAAATCACCTGAAGGCTTACAGCAAACCCTTCGGAAATAAAATATTAAAGAATTAAAATCATTTCATAAACATCGCATTGAACTCTAGAATTAATTGTGAGGATGTGTTTAATCCTACCATTTCAGATAGGTTCCCAAGTATTTACTTGTTATTGTGCAATGGTCTATCATGTTGTTACTTACGCAAACTGACAGGTGTGCTATAGGCCACTTTCTTAAGGTATAGGTAACTTTTTGAAAAGTTACAAGCTCTGTTCCTCCATATCCGTTTAACAACTTTACATGGTTTGTTAAAGTGTAAATAGTGACAGTCATCATAAAACAGAGTTTCCATATGAGCAAAGGGGGAATTGTGAATTTTAAAAAGGTGAAACCAACCAATGATTCTTCCCCGACACCATCTTTGTAATTAATTTAAAATTTAAACCAAAGGCAAATGTAATTGTTAAGACAAAAATAAATGTGACTGACTGAATTTACATGTAGACCTTTTCCCCCCCATTTCCATTAAAACCAAAACCCATATTATCACTACTTTTAATATGTATTAATATTTTAATAACCTTTCCTTAAATAATGTCATTCTTTTTTTAATTTTTTAATTTTTTATTAACAAAACAGGTAAAATACACACACACAAAACTTAGATTGATTATTGCTATTATAAAGAACAGGAAGCTCCTGTTTGGTTTGTATTGTATTGTGTAAATGTGGTGTACATCTAAGTTTTGTGTGTATGTAAATGATGTCATTCTTAAGCGATGCAAAACCAGGTTCTTAAAAATTAATACTGCAACCCTGGAGGTTTTTAAGAGATTGGGCAACCATTTGTCTGAAATGGTGTTGAGCTTCGTGCTTGAGCAGGAAGTTGGACTAGAAGACCTCCCTTCCAACTCTCTTATTCCGTAATTCTGTTAGTGCTTATTACAGAGTGCATCTGGTTTTGTTAGCCTTGCCTTTCAATAATAGCTGATCTGTTTCAAGGAGTGCCTCTCTGTACAGTTGCAACTTGCAACCTTTGAGACCTTAACCAAATTATACTTTTGAATGAGACACTAAAAAAAAAAGTATTAAAGGATTGGAAAGTAATCTCATTAATTATATTCTATCCTGACTGACTTTAAATGAGAGAGCCGAGGTGGCGCAGTGGTTAAATGCAGCACTGCAGGCTACTTCAGCTGATTGCAGTTCTGCAGTTCGGCTGTTCAAATCTAACAGGCTCAGGGTCGACTCAGCCTTCCATCCTTCCGAGGTGGGTAAAATGAGGACCCGGATTGTTGTTGGGGGCAATATGCTGACTCTGTAAACCGCTTAGAGAGAGCTGAAAACCCTATGAAGCGGTATAGAAGTCTAACTGCTATTGCTAGATAGATAGATGGATGGATGGATGGATGGATGGATGGATGGATGGATGGATGGATGGATGGATG